AAGACAATAGTTATACATACTGTAATGCTACCTGCTGTTAGTGTTGTTTTGGAACATTGTGTTATTGTTGCAAGACCAATGTACATGTAAAAGAATTGAACCTGAACTGTCTAGCAAGTATTTTAAAGAGGTGGTATTGTGCTCATTTTCAGGTTCAAAATCTTATTCAGGGGTTGTACCAGAACAGGTTTACATGGTTTAATTTTCAAAAAACACCATATTTTTTGTCATACTGGCACATTGCTGCACCTCCTCCTTTCACCCTGTGTTGAAGGCTTCGTTTTAGCTATGGAGTGATACATCTTGTCTCTAAGTGATCTTTGTTGGGAGTTGCACATGCGCAGTCCCTAGTTAAGGACTACTAGCCAATCAGAAGCAGAGAAGGCTGGGTCAGTGAGAAGCCGGTAAACATGGCTTCAGCTGTACATGTTGCCGACCAGTTTGGCAACATAGCTACGTTCAGACTGCAGGCCTTAATGCTCAATCCCAGATCGATTTTTTTTGTTTGACAGTTCACGTTATAATTTAACGTGGCCCATATCAGACTCCAGTGTGAACTGTCCATGGCCTGAAAGTGACCCGCATGCGCAGAAGAATAACACAACGTCACACGCAGCACGCTGTTGCAGGCTACAGATGTAAACAAGGAGCAACAAAGCTCCGGTTAGCTCGCAGGAGACTCCCATTTTCATTGTCCTCTCACGGGTCACATTTCTCCCGAATTATATAATAAAGTGTTCACAACTTTCTGTTCTTTTCTTTACGGTTTCTGGTGCTGTACAACGCAACTGTCCCGCAACTCACTCCCTCCCCTCTCTCTCTCTCTCCCAACTATGTCCGCTCGGACAAGTAGCATGCACGTAACTCAGAAGAGAGCTCGCGGCCTGGTGGATTTCAGGTGTAAGAAAGGGAATTTGTGAGCAGATGATAGCAAGGTAGAGGAGGAGAGAGCCACATGTTTAATTATGGCTTTTTGCGGAGCTCTTTAGCTCAGCACGGCTCCATCTACAGCAGAACCGTGACAGATTTGGACTACATATGGAATTGGCCTAATTCCGAACTGGAAAAGATCAGATTCCATGTGACTTGGCCTGTTCACACTGTCATAAAAAGATCTGATCTGAGTCACACATGGGCAAAAAATTCAGATTTGGGTCACATTGAACTGCAGTCTGAACGTAGCCATAGACTGGAGCAAGAGTTTCAGAGTGGTGAGTTATTAATCTGTAACAAATGTATCTTTCATCCATAAAGTTATAACTGAGCTCTGTCTCTACATCACAGTAACAACTTCATGTCCACTGACTGCCTGGAGGGTAGCTAGTGTTTGGAAGGGAGAGGAGAGGTGTGCTGCAGCTCAGTGGTTTTCCACCGGTGTTTTTGAGGCCGTGTCGGACTAGCTGCTTGGCTAGCGTTATAAGATGCGCATTTTGCTTTCATCCCTGTGACGTCACAAGGATGAAAGAGAAACGGCTGTACTACAACGACATGTTTTCAGGCAGTTCAGAGCAGTGTTTTCTGTGGGAGATGGGAACTCCCTTTGGGCTTTTTCACTTTGCAAACCTATTGCATGCACAAAAAAGATATAACTCAATAAAGGAGAAGAAAATAGCCAAAAAGCATAATACCACCTCTTTAAGCATTTTAACATAAAAGATTTCAATTGTTCACAGTTTTTCCTCAGTTACCAAGACACAATTCCTGGAACCACTCGCCAGTTTCTCAAATCTTGACACACAATTCTTTTTTTTGCCACTTATTTTTTATTTTGAACATCCTTCGGATCTCCCTTTATAGCATTTACTTCAGAGACAATATCTTTTACAATGGGGCTCAACATTCACACGCTCTTACTTATATGATATATGAAGTCCACAGGAGAGTGTGTCGAGAAATATAAGGAAGAGAAGAAATATAAAAAAAAATAACAACCTTGAAGATAAACCTTGCAAACAAAACAAACATCAACTTAGAACTAAACATGGGTTGTATACAAGTTCCCCAGGCAGATCTAACCTGAGTCAGTTCTAATGGCCTTCCATCACCGTCATTAAAGGTGCCCACTTTTCAATGAAAAGATCCCTCTGTAATCTCAATGAGTATGTAATTTTTTCCATATTGTAGATGCTTCTTAACATTGTTAGCCATTCAGCTTGATTTGCCAACTCCTCTTTAAGCCATTTTATTTTAATTGTTTTCTTTGCAGCTACCAATAATATTTGTACTAAATACATCTTTTTCCTATTGTGTATCACATCTGGTTTCATCCCTAAAATTGCTATCAGGGGTCTCTAATCATTTCAACATTCAATACTTATATATAAATATATATAAAAATGGATTTTGACGGGGTGGCACGGTGGTGCAGTGGTTAGCACTGTCGCCTCACAGCAAGAAGGTCTGCGTGGGTTCTCTCCGGGTGCTCCGGTTTCCTCCCACCATCCAAAGACATGCGGACTAGGTTGACCCTAAATTGTCCTTAGGTCTGAGTGTGAGCATGAGTGGTTGTTCGTATATGTGTGGCCCTGCAATGGACTGGCGACCTGTCCAGGGTGTCCCTTGCCTTGCGCCCGATGTCAGCTGGGATTGCCCCCCCCCCTCTCCCCAGGTGATGATGGATGGATGGATGGATTTTGACACACACTTTTTAAACTTCACACTCAGACAACACTTAAAAGCTGGTAAAAACACAGACTACTTGAGTGTAGGGATTCATTCAAAACACCGTTACCAAAATGTTTAGAATTGGTTTTCAGATAAATACTTTTTGAATTTGGTAAAATTGCAGTGCTGACTCTTCAAATAACCCTTTCAGGAACACAATGGAGAGTCAAAACAGTTACATTAGTTGAAATAACAATGATATTTTGGTCAAAAATCTGACTTTTGATATATCATACTGATAACTTGTGCAGACTCCATATACAGTAAAATACCTAATTATACAGTAAAATACCTAATTATACAGTAAAATACCTAATTTCCAAGAGCTTTTTTTTCCATATGCAGCAGTTCTACAGGTTTCTCAGCATGCACGGCTTAGGTTGGGTTGCACTTAGTTGGCCAGCATTTCAGTCATTCCATGTTTGAGCACATGATGAACTATGGTGGCACTGATTTCCTTTGGGATCACTTGTGTTTGTTGTTTGCCGTTGTTGTTGTTTGTTGTTGTTGTTGTCCTTGCCCTTGTCCCTTCTGTTGTTTTGCAACTTCAGCATTGTCAATTTTCCAATGCACATGGACAGGCCCAATTTATCGATCCTGATTGATGCATTACAGTTTTTATCGATTGCTTAAACACATTTCTTGAAATTATGCCTCTTTTTCTCAAAACTCTAAACACTAATCCACAACTTCTCATCCAGTTCCCCAAACATAATTTCAGGTCAAAATGAAGCTCTCCACTCAAAACCCACTCAATCTTGCTGAAAAAAACAAACTTTTCCTTCAGACATAACACATAAGCCCTCAAAACACACACACACTACAACACAGTTTTACACACTGGTGAGACAAATTCAAAACAATAGTACAAAAACTGGTAAAACAAGTAATATTGCTTGTGGTACTCCCCCTCAAAAACCTTTCCACATGATGAACACAAAATAAATAAACACACATTTTCCTTCCTAATTCCTTGGTGTACTATTACAGTACAAGACACCAAACAACAAATTATTCTACCCCAGTGTCCTGTCTTTGGTCTGGGACAGGCTAGAGATTCTTGTTCTCCACCTCCTTCACCACCTACTCTTCCT